ATATTTTTACTAGGGCTGTCAAAATTATTGCGTTAACGCACGTTAATTAATTTTTTTCATTAATTGCGTTAAAAAATACATGCAATTAACGCATGCACATGCATCCCATAATAACACTCAGAATGCCATGGACACGTGTGTGAGATGGCAACAGAGCAGGTCTCTGGGAATTCAAGTTTTAAAACAATAAACGTCCTGTAGGAACTCTGCGAGCAGAGCTGCGGGCGCTCTGGACAGCAGTTCCTTCAGCGGCTGTGATCACGACGAACGGCGCCGCGTAACGTGATCATACCCAAGACCATACACGTACAGAACTATTCTCTGCTTGGAGTGAGCATACATGTCTTTGCGTCAAAAAAGGTTGAAAAACACAGTGTTAGACAGAGGGTCTAACAAAAAGGTCTGTGGAGATGATGTAGAGTGTCCTGGACACTCTATGCCACACCATGCCGACACCGGCCTCTCAGCAAGAAGGTCCTGGGTTCGAATCCCGGTCGGACCAGGGCCTTTCTGAGTGGAGTTTGCATGTTCTCCCCGTGTCTGCGTAGGTTTCCTCTGGGTACTCCGGTTTCCCCTACCACTAAAAATATGTCCAATAGTTCTGGCATGCGCCTCCTGTACTGGCGACCCCGCTCCCATCTCTGTGTGGAGTGAGAGACAAATGCCCAAAAATTAACAATTGTAAACCGCTTTGAGACTCAGATCTGCAGTGAAAAGGCGGTATATAAATAAAGATTACTTACTACTACTCTATAACTATTAAATTCTATAACATTTATGGACACTGATCAACTCCATAGGGGGTCCATGATCCCCCTATGGACCAATATCTATGGGTTCTATATTTTTTGTGCTCGAACTGTTTATGTCTCTGATCAGTGTCGGCGATTTCAACAGTTTTGGGAAGTCATCTAAGATAACTACTGTTGTACTGGGCTATACAAGAGTACATTTAATTTAATTTGAATAATTAGAAAAAAAGACAAAAGTTATAATATTAAAAAACTATAAAACATACAATAAAAAAAACAAATACTATAAATTATTGGTGCATTTACAGGCTAATCGCACTAAGGAAAAACATTCTTTTTTTTGGCCTCTTACACACTGAGTGACACAGGCTTTTTCAGACAGAAAAGTGAAAAAGATAGGACCACCCTCACTCAGCTAAAAAGCTCTCTGTGTCAAATAGTGACTCACATAACTCTTTCTTACAAATAATGCAAAAGTTAACATATTTTTGCATGTTGTGGTCTGACTTCACAACATTTTACTCTTTCTGTTTGGACAAAAAGTAATATTTATTGGGGGAAAGTTTGGAACCCCAGTTTCAAGGAAACACATTGTACCTTTTGTAATTAAAAGAAATTGTAGAATTTTGACTAAAGGGGCAGAGGTTGTCTTTGTGTAGATTTAAGTTTCTGATATTAAAGTTATTTCAAATTCCGATTCATTCATTCATCAGGACTCCTCTGCTTTTACAGAGGAGTCCTGCACCTCCTCCCAGATTGCATCACTTTGCATTGAGAGTGGAGGACATAAGTTAGATCTCTAAAGCTGTTGTCACATCGCCAGCGCTGGAAAGCTGAAGCCTTGCGCACCAGACGGACATTTTCTAATTTTCAGACGCAGGGGACTTCACACCAGAAGTCCTGGCCAGCGCCGAAAGTGGCGGAAGTAGCAGGCGGACTTTGATGCTAACAGAGTGTCAAAGTTAATCTCCAATAAGGCAGCTCTGCAGTGTCTCTGTGTCCAGAGACCATCCATAGAGTTTATACAACAGTAGTATGTGTTCACGGAGGTAAGCAGTAAGTTTATTTTATTATTAAACGGTACTTCCGCATTGGCGAACACTCTCAAAGCAGTTGCATAAAGTCACGGGAGCATAAAAACGCATATGTTCAGAAGTACTATGTCCCCCATTGTCAACCCTGGTTTTAGTCCTGGTGTTGCTCCTGTTTTGGCTGTTTACAGTATGTTCAGTCTGCTCGCTCAGACCGCTTCTGTCCCCGTGATCACTTTGCGGCTCTCTGATTGGTCTCTGCACGAACGTCCAAGGAAACGTTCAGCAATATTTATCTCCTGCGTGCGTCAATTTTCCGCTCCTGCACCTCCCCTTCGACTTTGCCGCGCAGTCCGTGCGTCTCTACTGGGCAGTCTGTGCGTGCATCCCGAGACAAACATGCATTTTGACGCTCACCATTGACTTTGCATTGAAAGCCGACGCAACGCATGATTCGGTCTGAACGCGTCTTAATGCTGTTAAATTATATCACTCAAAAACAGGTCTGTTTTTGAGTGAATAAAGTTGTGAGATGAAGTAAATTTGTCCTTTGAAGAACATACTGTTTATTGTATAAAATTGATGTTTGAGTGTGAAAACAACTTGTGCCTGCCAACCTCGTTATCGTGAGCAATGGCGGTCTGTGTGAACTCACCAACCAACTATAGCAGTAATTTAGAAAGCAATATTTCAACTAATTTTGAAAGTCGGTAGTCTGATTAGTGAAACTTAATCCATATTATTTAATTACCACACAAATATCGGGAGGACATGCCCTTCTTTTTCAATGCTCCTGTTTCAAACTTACATTATGATATTTCCTTATATGTATTTTGGCCATGGGTAAATGTTGTCATTATCACTTTTATCTTACAACCATTTTTTTGTGTCAGAAAGATCCAGAGCAGCCAGAGCAGAGGTCATGAGTATTGTAGAAATCACTTTTATAATTGTCATGATAGAGGATATGAAATAGTGGATAAGTCCTCAATGTAAGTATTCATCTTGAATTTAGAATATTTCAACTGGCTTTAGGTTAAACTGTTTTACTTAACATTACAGGCTTTCTGTCTGATAATAATATGATAATCTATGACATTTCTAAAACAATGTAGGAAAAACCAAGCCGATGAATGGCCTAAGCTCAATGAGGCACCATGGAGCAGCGCTCTGATTGGTCACAACTTGACCAAATCAGAGCACTGTTGGAGAGCGATCAAAATTTGTCGCACAAAAGTGTGGATATATAGAAAGCTGTAGGTCCCTTGTCAGCTGAGGGAATTTCCATATGATGTCGAGGTTGCAGTAGCACTCATGGTCCAGCACTATACAGAAGACTGGCTTAAAGCAGAAGTAAGCGATTTTTGTGTATTAATATAAGTGTTAAATAGTCATATCTTCTATATAGACACTTATATAGAGTGTTTGGAACGAAACACAGTTCTATCAGGCACTCTTCTCCGCTCTGGAGTCAAGGAGAAAACTTTTCTTGTATCCTACAGTTTTTATCCAATCAGGAGAGAGAATGGCATGACAGGGTGTTCCGCGCACAAATAGGGCTGAAGTGACGGGTGGGCTTTGATGGTAACGGAGTTAAGCTAGTGGCTTTTTGTGTAAAGTTCTTCTCCAAGAATGCAACTCTATAGCGTCTCTGTGTCCAGAGACCTTCCAGAGACCTTCCAGAGACTGTTCACGGAGGTAAACACGTTACAGCACTTGTTTACAGTCACGGGAGAATGAGAACTCAGGCTGGAGGCACACAAGCACTGTTTTCCACCATTGTCAGTCCTGGTTTGTCCTGGTTTAGCTCCTGTTTTGGCTGTTTTCGAGTATGTTCAGTCTTCTCCCTCTGTCCCCATGACCACTTTGCGGCTCTCTGATTGGTTGCTGCAACCATAAACTTTAAAGTAAAGGAAGACGATGTGCGTGCATGTGGTGGCGTAGGGACAAAGGAGGGGCTGCTTACTCACTCGGGCGAGAAGAAACTGCCAAAACTATCGAAACGCTTACTGGTGCTTTAAGTTAGCAATACCCTCTACAGACAATATAATACATCTAAGATAAACATTGATTAACTTGGTTGTGATGCAAATGCCCCATTTCATGAAGAAGTGGAAAATTGTATTCTGCTGTTTTATTAATGACATGGCGTGGTCGAATTGAACAAGGCTAATATCATGACCTAACACAGCCCCCCTATTTCTAACTACAAAAAATCCTAACAGTACTAGTACAGTAACAGTACTATTACAGGACTATTACAGGACTATTAAGGTGTCTCACATTTTCCCACTGCTATTTTGAGATGTTCCTTGTCAATGCTTTTTTAAATTTTTTGTAATTTAAGGACAATGCAAATCAAGAAAATTACACAGAAATATTAACATAACAAAAAACAAAGCAAGGACAAAAAAGGACAAAAGACACAAAAACCAAAAAAAAAATGATTTTTCACATTCACACAAAAACAAAAAAATTCTCTAATAATCAGAAATTCTTGCCAATGTAGGGAAATCTTTCCCCACCCTTTTAGAAGGGGTGGGGAAAGATTGCTCAACATAATTAAGAAAGCTTGCAGCATTTAAAGATCTTTTGTTACAAGACTTAAATATCCAATGTTTTAAAATAAAATAAGTTTAACATTTCTTTATATTCTTTTCTCAAAAGAACCCTTTAAATTAAATATTTACATTATTTAGAATTTGCTGCCAATGCAGGGGGTTTAAAGACAGTGGTGATGATAGAAGGATATTAATGACAGTAGTCATCCTGCTCCCTATGCACTGATGGCTCCTATTTGTTTGTTATTATCGCTTTTTCTGTGTTTGCACGGTTTGATTCTCTAATCTGTTGTTGATAAATTAACAAATCCTCTGTGACAACGTTGTGGATTAGGACTGTACAATAATAAAGGGGACGCTCAAACAAAATAATACATAGATTTAGGTAATTATAGTCACCGGACAAGTAGTTTTGTTCAGGTTATCTTGTATTCCATATTAGCTTTACTGGGGAGTTCATTTTTTTACAAATATATGCACAACATTTTATGTATCTTATATGAAAATAAATAGAAATTGCTGTTGTTATTGTAATATTGTAATACATTTGAGGTCACCTAATACCTTTGCATAACAGTAACAAGACTTTTGATCACCCCATGACCCAGCTTCACATCAAGTTGAATTAAAACTGTCTTCTTTCTTTTCATACTCACCCAAGACTTTGAGAAGTTCGTCAAAATTCTCACTGCGCTTCATTTTCCACGTCCCACTGAATTTGCTCATGTTGGAAGCTGCTGTGTTTGAAGCAATGTGCAGAAAACGTTGGATTTGTTGATGTGGGAAAGCCGGCACTCCTTCTTCTCCTCATGTGCTTGTGTGTGCTCCCCGCTCTGCTCAGAGAACCAGGGAGACTCTCTCACTCCGGTTCCACACAAGAACAAAGACCCGCCCACTTTCAGCCTGTGCAGCATGTCGTAAGCCTTGTTCACTGTGGCTCCTCTGGCCTTCACAAAAGATACAATCCTGGTTGTGTTTCCATTACACTATAAAATCTGGTACCGTATCCTTTAGCAACCTACCAGTGTTACATAAGTAATGTACAGTGCATCCGGAAAGTATTCACAGCGCTTCACTTTTTCCACATTTTGTTATGTTACAGCCTTATTCCTAAGTTGATTCAATAAAAAAATGTCCTCACAATTCTACACACAACGTCAAAAAATAGAAAAGAGACAACAGTATTCACAGCCTTTGCTTAATACTTTTTTGATGCACCTTTGGCAGCCTCAAGTCTTTTTGACTATGATGCCACAAGCTTGGCACACCTGTCTTTGGGCAGTTTTGCCCATTTCTCTTTGCAGCACCTCAAGTTGGATGCACAGCCATTTTCAGATCTCCCCAGTGATATTCAATTGGATTCAAGTCTGGGCTCTGGCTGGGCAACTCAACGACATTCACAGAGTTGTCCTGAAGCCACTAAGGTCATTGGGCCTCATTCACGAACGGTTCTTACGAAAAAATGTGTGCGTAAATCCTACTTACGAGGATTTTACGAAGAATGTGGCATTCACGAATATTTCTCGTAACCAGAATTTCTCTTGGGTAAGTACAAATCCTACGAGTGCTCAGGAGCAATCTCACGCACATTCAGTGCCGACATGTTTGCACGCTGGTGTTATGAAGTTCAATAAAACACAACATTACAGTGATATGTTTGTCATATTGATGTAGGTATTTATTTATTTCATTGTTTATGGTAATAGTCATTTTTTAAATTCATTTGTAAACTAAATGTGCCAACGCTTTATCAAATACATTGGAAATCATGCCGTTAGTGATCCCATCCTATTTATAGGGGACATTTCTCCATCCACGGGTCACAAAACAATGGAATATATACTGCTGCTGCAGGAGGACCGCGCTGGTCTCTCCATACTAACTTCTCTGCGCACTAACTTCTCTCCGGAGACTTCTCTCTCGCTGCTACTGTGTGTACTACAAGTCACGCTGCTTCTATTGACGGAAGTGAGCGAGAGAGAAGTCTCCGGAGAGAAGTTAGTGCGCGGACGTAGCGCACCTCAGATTACTACGCCTCACAATATAGTACCCGTTTTATCCGCTGAGAAAATTGACTGTTACATTTCTGTGTTACTATACTTTGCAGTGTAACACGTCACGTAACTATATACATTTAATAGGGAACACTTGGAAGAGTTTGGTAGCTTCTAGCGGGAGCTACCTTTTGGTGCTACAAAATATACAGAGGAGGCTGCGGTTGTGCTCCAGTTTTTGCTCCGTTTGCATGACAGAGCGCACGGACTAAGACCAGACAGGTACGTATTAACTAGTCTAAGGTAAGGTAAGAACATATGTCAGTATGTACAAACGGTGAACTATTCCTTTAATCCATGACTGGGTCAGGGGGGTGGCAGTCAGAGCTGCACCCAGTACACTTAGCACCAGCTTCTCACTGATCCTCCTGCAGTTGGTGAGTCCACAGGAGCTGAGATCTTTCAGTGGGGGCTCCAGGCAAAGTCGGGTTAAGTGTCTTGCCCAAGGACACAACGACAGCAGACATCAGTGGGAGTCGTGAAGTAGGTCTCATGGTGGGCTCGAACTAAGGATGCGTAGTTTAATATATTCCACGTTCTTTGAAATAAAAGCCATTTCAAGCCGCATACTTTTCATAAGTGCAGCTATGCGTTTTACTGGATCAGAGCCGAGACAGCGGTGCCAAAACTCCCAACAGCTTCGGCACCTTTGCGCACAGAGAACTGCTGTTTTAATCTTCCCATTCTGCTGTGCTGCGGGTTAAATCATTTTTAAGCAAAAGACGGCTCGTTCACATGGTCAGAGCAGCGAGTCTCACAGGTCTCCGCTAAAGTTTAAAAGTGATGTGTGTGGAGCTGATCTAATGACAAGGACCATAAACACAAACATGTTTCATGTGGTTTGACTGAAGCCGCGTATTCGCGAGGATCCTTTGGGCTGCGTGACACAGAGGCAGTGATGGGAGTAACGGCGTTAGTAACCATGACCTCAGGGAATTTTGATCAGTGAAACATTGTTCGAGCAGCGGAGCGCCAAAAAGTGGCGTATTTTTTTTCAGTTTTTGACAATAGAAATTGTTTCCGTTTGCACAAACAAAGTGTGATTGGCATAAAACTTGAATCCATGGTTCAACTCTTGGATCTAGGTCATTTGAAAGTTAAAATTTTGAAATTGGCTCTATAGCGCCCCCTACAACAGCCAATTTAAAAATGCCTATGGGATGGGTTCGAGGTCAAAATTGTCGTAGAACCATGTAATTTGGAACACATGTTCCTCAAGTCAAGACATGGATAAAATGTTATTATGGCTGAGCCCTCTGACAAACAGGAAACCCATAAATTTCACTGCAAAATGGAAAAATGAAAACCAATCATTTTCATACACGTCGGTTGGAAAGCGACTCCTCCTCGGCCGTTTCACCGATTGGCCTCAAAATTGTTCCAAATTATCTCAACACATTTACCTTCAAAATGACTTCAGGGAATTTTGATCAGTGAAACGTTGTTTGAGAAGCGGAGCGGCAAAATGTGAGGGTTTTTTTGGCCGTTTTTGACAACATTATTTTTTTTCCCGTTTGCACAAACAAAGACTGATTTGCATTAAAATTGAATCCATTGTTCAACTCCAGGGTTTAGGTCAGGTGAAAGTGAAATATTTGAAATTGGCCCGTTAGCGCCCCCTTCAGACTGAGTCAAAGTTTACATGGGGAGCCAAACCAGCTCTACTTAACATATTCATTACAATTTGACTAACAATCTTCTATGGCTACGGGAACAAATCATCACACGGCGGTGCCACCTCCTTTGCGCGGTGCTGCGTGGTAAGGTGTGGTGCGACGTAGTGCGGGGCCTTGTGGAGCGGCGTGGTGCGGGGCAGCGTGGTGCGGGACGGCGTGGTGCGGGACGGCGTGGTGCGGGACGGCGTGGTGCGGGACGGCGTGGTGCGGGAAGGCGTGGTGCGGGAAGGCGTGGTGCGGGGCGGCTTGGTGCGGGGTGGTGCGTGCGGTGCGGGGAGTCGCGCGGTGCGGCGAGGGCCGTTTGACGCCGCTTGAGGCTTTAATTTTCTTTTCTTCTTAATCAGCTGTCAATAATGCTGAGGGAGTCACTCGAAAGCCAAAGAAGAGCAAATCACAGGAATCATGGTAGAGTTCACTAGGGTGGGAGGGGGGGGGGGTATGTTTAGGGGAATACAGGGAACACCAGGCCAGTCTGTATGTATTAAGTGTACTTCGTAACAGGGAGCAGATGGGGGTCAGACGGAAAATTCAAAGCAACCATATTAATGACCAATAGGGGACTAAAGTTACTTTCCTGGAACGTTAATGGTTTAGGTTCACAAGTTAAAAGGCATAAAATATTCAACTACATAAAGCAGAAGAAGGCTGATGTTGTCATGCTGCAAGAAACACACTTGACAGAGAAACACATCAAATTATTGAGTGACAGATGGTTAGGCTGTGCGGTACACAATACTTTTAATCAGAAAAAAAGAGGGGTGGCCATAATATTCTCAAAAAACCTGAATGTCAAAATACTAAAGGAATATAAAGATCAAGAGGGTATAATTATTATCATTTTGGTAGATATATTAAATAAAACATTCATAATGACAAACATTTACGCACCCAATGAAGAAGACCCTTCATTTTTCTACAAAGTCAAGACTGCCTTACTGGACTTTGGAGACTTCCCAATGGTATGGGGTGGAGATTTCAATGAAGTGTTGGATAACTTCTTAGATAGAAGTGGAAAATATACCACTAGGCCCTCTAAGACACAAGACGCTTTAAAAATAATATGCAAAGATATGGGTCTAAGAGATATTTGGAGAATATTGAATCCAACTGAAAGAGACTACACCTTTTTCTCAAATAGACATAACGTTTTTTCTCGTATAGACTATTTCTTAGTGTCCCACCCTTTTATGAATTGTGTAACCTACTGTAACATAAGTACAATGAGAATTACAGATCACGCTCCGATTGAGCTAGGCCTCTCATTGGAACTGAAAGGAGAAAAAGATTATATATGGAGAATGAATACAAGTCTCTTCGATAAGGAGGAGTTTGTTTCTTACATTAAAGACCAAATATTATTTTATTTCAAAGTAAATAATGGATCCACAGAGCAATGTTATATCTGGGATGGATTTAAGGCATTTATTAGAGGCATTTTCATGCAGAAAACAACAATCTTAAAAAAAGAAGAACAACTTAAAGTAGCTAGGCACGAATCGGAAATTAAATACTTGGAAAAGGAATACAGGATGTCTCCAAACAATAACCAAATCTTAACTAAAATAGTCAGGGCAAAATATGAATGAAATAATCTTTACTCCCAAAAAGCTGAACACTCCCTTCACAGGCTGAAACAAAAGTGGTACGAGTCTGGCAATAAAGCCGGCAAACTCCTAGAAAGCCAATTAAAATCAAAACACTCTGCTCAACAAATAAGTGGAATACGGGACAAAGATGGAAAAGTAATTACAGATTTAAGGAATATTAATAATATCTTCAAGGATTTTTACAAGGAATTATATTGTCAAGAAAAAGAGTTTGATAGCAACTTAACAGAGAGGTTCTTTGACTCTCTAAATCTCCCAAAACTCTCAAAAGAGAAAGCAAGACACTTAGAAAGCCCAACAACACTAGAAGAAGTTAAAAAAGCTATTTTGGCTTCTCCCAAAGGTAAAGCAGGAGGCTCAGACGGCATTTGCAATGAATTCTATCAAAA